CTGGACGAAACGAAACGCGAAACAGCCCACGAAACGCCCCACAAAGCACCCCGCGACACACCCCAAGAAAAACTCAACGAAGCACGCTAGGAAACACTTGACGAAACACCCAACGAACAGCCACGAAACACCCCACGAAACAACCCGCGAAACACTCCACGAAACATCCCACGAACCACCCCACGAAATAGACGTGCCAACAATGCGCGCTGTCCTGCGCCGCGTTGTACCGTGCTGCCGAGCTCAATTTCCGACTCAGCTATGAAACGGGACGAACCGAGAGGGGGCGAATCAAAGAAAGACGGAACGCACCGAGCAAAGACGGACCGAAACGCGGCACACCGAGACACGACGAACCGAGACAGGACGAACCGAAGAGTACCAACCGAGACGAGGTCCAAAATCACGCTGCGCCCCCGCTCCAGCTGTCAGGACCCCTCATAAATCACGCTGCGTCCGCATTCCCAGGGCCACGAACCTTAACAATTCACACTGCGCCCGCGCTCCAAGGGCCCCGATCTCTCGTAGATTACACTGGGGTCGCGCTCCCAAGGCCCCGACCCCTCGTAAATTACGCTGCGCCCACACTCCAAGGGCCACGATCCCAAGTAATTTACGCTGCGTCCGCGCTCACAAGGCCACGATCCTTTGCAAATTACGCAAAGTCCGCGCTCCCACTGCCGCGATCCCTCGTAAATTAAACTGGGGTCGCGCTCCCAAGGCCACGATCCCTTGTAAATTACGCTGCGTCCGCGCTCCCAGGGCCACGATCCCTTGTAAATTAGATTGGGGTCGTGCTCCCAGGGCCACGATCCCTTGTAAATTACGCTGCGTCCGCGCTCCCAGGGCCACGATCCCTCGTAAATCACGCTGCGTCCGAGCCCCCAGGGCCCGATCCCTCGTACTTTACGCTGCGCCCGCGCTCCAAGGGCTACGATCCCTCGAAAATTACATTGCGTCCGAGCTCCCAAGGCCCCGACCCCTTCGTAAATTACGCTGCGCCCGCGCTCCGAGGGCCACGATCCCTCGCAAATTACACCTGGTCCGGGCTCCAAACACCACGATCCCTCGTAGATTACTCCGCGTCCGCGCTCCCAGGGCCTCCTGGGTGGGGCATGCTGGGGCGCCCAGGTCCCGGAAGTTTTGCAAAACAAGCGTTTCGCTCGAGACATCCTCGATTTTTCGACGTGGGGGGCGCACCATCCTCGAGCGGGCACGCAAAAACTCAACATTTTCACGCTTTCCGCGCCGCGTTGGACTTCACCTAATTTTCTAGAAGAAACCGGGGGTCCGCGGACCCCGTTATTTATCGAGGATTCGAGATGGGGGGTCGACTTTTCTCGAGCGGGCACGCGCAAAACGCACCTTCCGCGCCGAATTCGACTTCACCTCGTTTTATCGATGAAAACGGGGGTCCGCGGACACTGTGATTTATCGAGGATCCGAGGTGGGGGGTCGACTTTCCTCGAGCGGGCACGCGCGAAACGCATTTTTTCACGCCGAATTGGACTTTAACTAGTTTTGTATCGAATGGAAATTCGCTGACCCTACAGAAGTTGGCACCGGGGAGAATTACAATAGTAAAAGAGAACCCTGGGCCCCCGCTCAACACATCCTCAACACATCCTCATGTTAGACATCGGCCAGGGCGACCTGGACACGTGAAAACAAGCGTGTCTCTCGAGACGCCCTCGACTAATTCTAATGCTAGACATCTGCCTGGACGACCTGGACGCGTGACAACAAGTGCTTCGCTCGAGACATCCTCAACGAATCCTGATGCTAGACAACTGCCTGGACAACTGCGCGCAAAAATCTCGCTCCTCCCACTGAGTCTGGCGCGGGACTCCAGGAACGAGGGCGGGGCGCAACTTCGGCCGTAGGCCCGGGCCCCGTCGCCACCGTCGCCGCGGTGTTCGTCGTCGCCGTTGTCGTCGTCGCGACGCCCGCGCATTCACGTTACTACTAGTGGCGGGTCGCGCGCGCCACTGCGCTCACATTTCGGTTCGTCCATGTTTTTGTTTTCCCGCCCACATCTCGTTTAAAGTGATAATGGGAAAAATGTACCTCTGAGTGAAACCAAACGTCTCGCTCGAGATATCCTCAAGACCTGGGCACGTGAAAACAAGCATTTCACCAGAGACGTCCTCTGAATTCTGGCCCCCAGGAGAGGAACGATCTATAGCACAAAACAGACGTTGCGCTCGAGGCATCCTCAACAAGTTCTGAAAGACAAGCGTTTCGCTCGAGACATCCGCAACACACACAAATGTTTACTTCACCATTGTGTTTTATCGATCGGAATTTGAAAACCAAGCGTTTCGCTAGGGACATCCTCAAATACAATTCCGCCAGCCCTCTTCGACCTCGTTAGTTATCGCAGAATACTTCCGCCGGCCCTCTTCAAGTCACAACCGGGGGGGAAACCTACTGAAAGAGAGCCCTGGGCTCAGGCCCTTTCCGGGAAAAACCTGCGGGCCCCCCAACCCCCCCATAAGGTCCAGAATGGCAAACATTAAAGGAGCCCAGGGACGCACAAATCCGCCGAGCCTGTCGGCGTGTGGAAGACGCGTTTCCCGCAAGGGCGCCACCCAAAGCGAAACGAAAGCGAAATTGAGCAACGTAGTAACTGAGTCGAAGGTCAAGCGAAATGGAGCAACGTCGTGGCTGAGTCGGAAAGAAATCTCTTCCCTTTCATCCCTTCCCCGCCGGGTGGGGAGGTCCCCAGGGGGGTCGCCACCGAGATACGCGCCCCCCCCTGGCGGTCCCGTAGCTGAGTCGAATGGACACCCCTTCCCTTGCAACGTCGTAGCTGAGTCGAAGACCAAGCGAAGTTGAGCAACGTCATGGCTGAGTCGAAAGGACACCCCTTCCCCTTCATCGCTTCCCCGCCGGAGGAGGGAGGTGCCGTGGGGGGTCGCCACCCAGACACGCAACCCCTGCGGGCGGTCCCGTAGCTGAGTCGAAGGGATACCCCTTCCCTTGCAACGTCGCAGCTAACTCGAAGGCCAAGCGAAATTGAGCAACGTCGTAGCAGAGTCGAAGGGACACCCCTTCCCTTTCATCCCTTCCCCACTTGGGTGGGTGGGTCCCTGGGGGGGCCCGGAGTGGGGGTCCCGGGGGGGGTCCTGGAGTGATCGCACTCAGATACGCACCCACTCTGGGCGGTCCCGTAGCTGAGTCGAATGGACACCCCTTCCCTTGCAACGTCGTAGCTGAGTCGAAGACCAAGCGAAGTTGAGCAACGTCATGGCTGAGTCGAAAGGACACCCCTTCCCCTTCATCGCTTCCCCGCCGGAGGGGGGAGGTGCCGTGGGGGGTCGCCACCCAGACACGCAACCCCTGCGGGCGGTCCCGTAGCTGAGTCGAAGGGATACCCCTTCCCTTGCAACGTCGTAGCTAACTCGAAGGCCAAGCGAAATTGAGCAACGTCGTAGCAGAGTCGAAGGGACACCCCTCCCCTTTCATCCCTTCCCCACCGGGGTGGGTGGGTCCCTGGGGGGGCCCAGAGTGGGGGTCCCGGGGGGGGTCCTGGAGTGATCGCACTCAGATACGCACCCACTCTGGGCGGCCCCGTAGCTGAGTCGAAAGGAAGCCCTCTCCCTTACAACTTCGCAACTGAGTCGAAGGCGAAGCGAACGCAGCTCATCATCATTATCATCATCATCATCATCATCATCATCATCATCATCATCATCATCATCATCATCATCAGCATCAGCATCAGCATCAGCATCAGCATCAGCATCAGCATCATCAACAGCATCATCATCATCACCATCACCATCACCATCACCATCACCATCACCATCACCATCACCATCACCATCACCATCACCATCATCATCATCATCATCATCATCATCATCATCATCATCATCATCGTCATCCTCTTCTTCATCATCAGCATCACCATCATCATCATCTTCATCATCTTCATCCTCTTCATGCTCCTCCCTCTCCTCCCCCTCCGCCCCCTCCTCATCCCCCTCCTTCGAAAACTCCTCCTTCTCTTCTTCCATCTCCTCATCCTCCTCCTCCTCATCATCATCATCATAATCATCAGCAGTATCAGCATCATCATCATCATCAGCATCATCATCATCACCATCACCATCACCATCACCATAATCATCATCATCATCATCATCATCATCATCATCATCATCATCGTCATCATCATCGTCATCATCGTCATCATCGTCATCATCGTCATCATCATCAGCATCATCATCACCATCATAATCATGAGGGCCATCGTTTTCACGCAGACGCTTCTATATCATGCGGTGTGCAGCCAGACGAGACAACATCATCTCACGAACGCTTTGCAATCGGCAGAGCCTCTGAAAGCTTCTCCAGAGACCCCAGGCAAGGTCAGGGACAGCAGGGTTGGGCAAAGAGAGTCACATAAAATTGGGAGGGAAAACTTTGAGCAAAAATGGGCCGCGGTCGCTTCCCACTCTCGCAGTTTCCACCCGCCCTCATTCCAGTCAAAGACAGTGCCATGAGGGCCATCGTTTTCACGCAGACGCTTCTATATCATGCGGTGTGCAGCCAGACGAGACAACATCATCTCACGAACGCTTTGCAGTCGGCAGAGCCTCTGAAAGCTTCTCCAGAGACCCAAGACCACTTTGTGCCCCGGGCCCATGAATGCCCTGGGATCCTTAGATCACGACAAGTTTGAAAGCAGTCCCTGACCAGACCGAGCGAGATGACACAAGTGAAAAACCTCTGCGAGCTTTTTACAAAGGCGGGGGGGGTAGGGCTGTGCAATTAAGGTCCAGAACTTCCCATTCGGGGCTTTGCCAGAGAGCTCGAGGTGGGGGCGACCAGACCGAGAGCACAACCCCCGCCCTTTACACTTAAAAGAGTCCAGAGTCCTACACACATCGTCAGGAATATTACACAGCATGAGTCTAGTTGCTTTTCTCCATCGGGTTCCGAATTGGCAAAAATCTACTCGTTCTAATTTGACTTGCGGACAGGTGAGCAACCTTAGAACCTCAGGAAGGATCCAGAACATTGAGGTGAGAGGGTTCTCGACGATGCACGGGACCTTCATCCTCAGGCAGAGGCGTACCAGCTTGATTGTGAACCTGGTCAGCAAGTTACCGATATGCACCTTCTCTACGTCCACGGCACTGAGCCCTGCCAAGCCCCAGGGAAACTCGTTGGATCGGAGCGGCGGTGGGCACCCACGACGTGCCCGGCTCAGTGCGTGGCAAGGGGTTGCGATCATCACTCCTTTCACTCTGCCAGTTCGGACGCGATTCAAAAGTCTTTGTTGATTTCGATTCTTTGTTAGATCATGATCTGGGCCATGCACGACATCAGTCACTGTCGCACGGCCTCCAAGCTTTGTCACTTCCGCCGCGACACCTCCGCAGCCGGAGTAGACGTCCTCAAAAGCCCACTGCGCGGCAGCGACGGTGCGGCGGGCGGGGCGAGGCCGTCCAGCATCACGCGCTGCAGGTTGGCCTCGCACCACAGGGCGAACTGCTGGAAGCTCTTGGGCAACCGCTGCCACTGCGCCTGCACACGGCCGCCCTTCTCGTAGCGGGCGACGCTTTTGTGGCTGCCCCAGCGGCCACGCTTCATGATCTCGTCCAGCGTGCGTCGCAGCTGCAGCCGATCCCACGACGCGCCGCTGTGGCGGAGCTGGTAGGGAACCAGCTCTGGAAGCCCCAGCCGCGTCGCAGCCGCCTTGAACTGCTTCAGGTACGCGGCGTAGCTGTAGTTGAAGACGGGCTCGTCGCCGCTCTTGCCGCGCACCAGCTCGCGCAGCAGCTGCGTGGTCCACGCCTCCTCCTTGTCCCAGATGACGGTGTCGTCGTAGATCCCCACCTTGGTCGGCCTCAGCTCCTCGGACGGCCGGATGACGAACGTCCAGTGGGGCCCCACGTTCGACGACGGGGGGATGAGCCACTTCGCCTTCAGCTCGTGAATCTCCCCAGGCCGCGCGTAGGTCACAAGCGCGGCCAGCGTCTCGATGGCCATCGTGCGGAAGCCCGCCCGCACCAGCTCCACCATCAGGGCCGCCCACACCGGTCGCGCCTCGGGGAGCCGCGACTGCCCAGGAGCCAGGCGGTCCCAGCCCTGGAGGGCACGGTGGGCACGGGGAAGCCGAAGGGTCCCAGCCCGCCCGAACTCCGGGCGGATGCCCTTGATGGCCGCCAGCAGGTAGTGCCCGACGCTCCCGTCCATGCCGTTGAAGAACTTCTCGTCGAACACCTCGATCAGGGCGAAGTCGACCTCCTCCGGGGAGTCGAGCGAGAGACCGAGCCTGGCGCAGTCCTGCACGAACCCCTCCATCACCTCCACGTACTGCTGGTCGACCTTCTCCCCCACGGCCTTCGTCTCCAGGAACGAGCGGCCGAGGGCGTCGACCTCCACCGAGAAGCGGTCCTGCCTCGCCAGCGCCGTACTCAGCCTCCTCAGCTTCGCCGGCTGCGAGATCGGCACGCTCCTCGGCAGGCGCGGGATCTCCCTCCGCGGCCGAGCCGCCGGGATAGCCGACGCCTTCTGTGCAGCGTTGCGCCCGTTGCTCAACAGGCGCCGATCCTCTCGCCGAACCGGCGGCGGCCGGGTCAGCCCCTGCGACCGCATTGGGCTTCGGCCGCTTGTGCCCGGGCTCGTACCGCCGCGAAGGCCCGTCGGCGGGATTGAGCTCAGACGGCACCCAACGAACATGGCAACGGATGTTGAGGGCCAGGGAAAGGGCGCACCACCTTCGACAGCAGATGTTCATCTGGAAATCCAAGGCCCTCCCCTTGCAGAACGCCAGGATCTGGCCCATGTTATCCCCCAAGAAGACGACATGACGACCACCGATACCAGGGCGCTTTGCGAGCCGACGAAGGGCCCAGATCATCCCCTTCGCCTCCAGAATGTGAATGGCCTCCCTACGGCAGAACCTTCCAGCGTATACAAACTTCCAGGGGGCCTCGTGGATCCAGTCGGGGCTGATGTCGGGGAACTTGGGGTCCTCCTCCCAGTACTCGTTCGGGTCATTCGTCCCCTTAGGGACGTACACGGTGAACTTGTCCTCCAGGGCATCTCGAGAACCTGCAAGAGCGTGTGCACGATGAGCCATATCTTGTCGGACCCGAAATCGCATACGCTCGTCGACCCTCCCAACCTGCTTCACATTTTTGTCACTCCAAGAGCTCTCGACGACTCCCCATCCTGTAGGGCAGGCATCCGTCGCCACCACCTCGCCATGCCAGGGCAATCTCCACTGAGCAAATGCAAAGGGTAGCAGGGCTCGCGCTGCACTAAGCTCGGCCCGCACAGAGGGCCAAAGCTCGATCTGCTCACCACCAGCGCTACGAATGAACTGGTAGGTCGCAGACAGAACCGACAACAGGGGGCGACGGAGCATGAAAATGAAGGTCAGGTGGCCAACGGTCGACTCCAGCTGGTGCCCCGAGGCAACTCCACGGTCCAGCAGCCAGGTCAGCAGGCTGTCGACTTTCCACATCCTCTTGAGCGACGTGGCCACAATGCCCTTGCCGCCATCGATCGCCACGCCCAGCACCTCCGACTGAGTCTGAGCCTCGACGTGCTCGTGAGTGGACAGCCCCACGCCGTCCAATCGCTCGCAAGCACAATCCTTCATCGTCTGCACCTCCTTAGGCTGACCGCCAAGAAAGCCTACGTTGTCCACGTAGACGTAGTGGAGAGGCTGCCCGCCTGAGGTAATCAGGCGCGAGCCGCCAAACGTCTGCAGGCGCCGATCGGCGGTCGCGCCCGTGGCCTCCTCCACCTGCTTGGTGACCGCCTCCTGCACGAGGTAGAGTGACCACTTGAACCCCATGGGGAGCACCGCGAAGCAGGGGTGCACCCAGCGGTCCGCCGACAGCCACTCCCCCTCAGCCTCGTGAAGGTGGAGCTCCTCCGCTCGCAGCGGTGGCAGCCCGAAGTAGCGGCTGAGCTCCACATCGATCTTGAAGCGGTAGAACGCGTCCCGCACGTCGCCTGTACTGATGAACACCTCCGAGTCGTCGTCGACCTCGATGAGCCCTAGCGACTCGGCGGTGGCCAGCTCCACTCCGGGGGGATCGCGAAAGCGGCGGTTGCTGCGGCGAGCGTCGACCACTAGCCGCTGCATCCCCGACTTCTTCTTCACACAGAACACGGTGGCGCGCTCCTTGACAGCGGTGCACCACCGCAACACACCAATTGACTCCAGCCGACGGACAAACTTGATGTAGGCCTGTCGATCCCCCGACAAGTTTCGGTCCATGTAGGGGGTGACCGGCTCCGAGTTGTCCTCCAGCTCCCAAAATTCGATGTCAGGCCTGACCATACGTTCTTCAAAATCTACCAGCATTGATGCAGCCTCAGCAGGCACCACATCGACCGCGTAGGGGCAGTCCTTGCACGACGCGGGTACCGACAACAGCTCTTCCTGGTAGTCGCTCACAATGTGCTCATCCGAGTCGTATCCGGCTCGGGAACGCAGAAGCGCGCGTGCGGCTTCATGCGGGCGCGGAACAACATCAACAGCCTGAGAGCGCTCCATCACGCCCTTAATGTGCTGGACGGCCTCGGCCTGCGCCGGCGAGCATATCCCCTCGGGGGCCGCCCCACCGCACCCGCTCAGCCAGTTCAGGGTTGAGATGGCATCGTTGGCACGACGAGTGATGGCCTGACGACGAGCGACTCGTTGACACACGCCTCGGCTGAGCCCAGGACGGCGAGGCCCTTCCTCTGTCAGCGACGGCAAAGGGAAGACCTCAGGCTGCATCTGGAAAAAGAAGGTGAAGCTCAGGTAGGCGACGAACGCGAGCCTGAGCTGAAAAACTGCGCCTGGAAGCGCTGCCCCTCTGAGGTAGAAGCGACTAGCAGCGGGGTCCCTGCCGGTCGCCGTCGCACAGCTAAGCGTCTGCCGCGCCTCCAGCCCCCTTCTTGGCGGCTGCCTTTGCCTTCGGGTGGGCGGTGGCTGCGCGCACTTCTTGGGCCTTCTGGCGCTGCTTCTCGATCTCGGCTTTCTCTTTGGTACGGGTGGCCACGTGAGCGGTGAGGGCCGGGGCGATCCCCGCAGTCCGCTGCTGATGGCCTGACCACAGTTCCTCGCCCTCAAAGCGGCCCTCTCCAGGACCACGACTGGCCGCGTCCAGCAACAGCTGCATCCTCCTCGCCAACACCTCGAACGCGGCCAGCGACGCGAGGTTGAGCTGATCGTAGCACCCGGCGTGCTCCAACAAGCGGCACATCGCCTGGAGCTCGCACGCGAGGCGGTCCGAAGCAGCAATGCGATTCTCGGCGAGATACTTGTGGTACCACTGCATCGGGGAACCTCCAGTCCTCTCAATGTTCTTCGCCATCCAAAGCATGGTACGCGGGCCCTCGACGGGCCAGTCCTCATAGAAGCTCTCGTGCATCTTGGCGACGGCCTCCTTCCACGAGCGGAACCTCTCGCCCTGCTCGTCGCACTGCACGGGCAGGGTCCTGGCGTCGTCAAGGTCCGGCTCAGGCGGCGCGTCCACCGGGGCCGGCAAAGGAGGCTCAGGTGCCCCAGGCCCGTCGCTAGGCATGAGCGCGGCAATGTCCCTCCAGCGCCGGGCCCCGAAACCAGGAACGTCGTCCACGTGGAGGCGGTAGAGCACCACGACGCCCTCGGCGGTCCGGCCCGAGGCGGGGGACGCGGTGACGCTCACCAGCATCCGATCCCCCAGCCTGCGGGCGTCCTTCTCGCTGAGGATCGTCGCGACGGTGAACTCGGTGCCGAGCGGGAACGAGGAGTTCGGCTCGCCGACGACCCAGCGGTAGTCCTTCTCGTCCTCCACGATGGCGGTCGCCGCGGCGGCAACAGCCTCCTCTCGAGGTGGAGGAGTCTGGGTGCCCCCCAAGTCGTCGTCCTCGTCGTCGGGCGCGTCCAGCACAGTCGGTGGCGCCTTGCCCCGCCCACGGCGGGCAGGAGCACCCCCAAGCCGCCAGAAGTCCTCGAGCGCCACCACGCGCCCGTCCCACTGCTGCGTGTGAAGCGGCGCGGGCAGCGGCGCCTCGCCAGCGGCGAGCGCCTGGCGCGCCTGGTACCGAGCCTCGATCACCTTCCCGCGGAGCTCCCGGGCGCCGATCTCTCGTCGGAACCGGTACCTCGGCGAGACCACGTGACGAGGCACCCCGCCACCAGGCGCCAGCACGATGAACTCCTCGACGTCGGGGCCTGTCAGACGCTCTGGCATCTGGTCGCCATCTGGTGACTCCGTGACCCACTCCTCGAAGCTCACCGGCCACAGGCATACACGCTCGTGCAGGAGGTCCTCGCCAGCGTCCACGTAGCGCACGAGGATCCTACTGCCCGGCATCAACCTTCTCAATGAAGCCGCCACCCCGGAGGGTAGGTCGCCTGCTCCTGCTGCCACCAGCATCTTGACGAGCCCCGCGTCGCGCGCCGGCACAGAAGCCGCCGACCGCGGCCACCACACCGTTGAACACGAGGGCCGCGGCAAGAAGCACCCACGGCGGCCCCTCAGGGCAGACCAGCGTCGGGCACGCCGGGCAGACCGCCTCGGGACACGTCAGCTCCGGGCAGGTCAGGTTGGGGCAGGCCGGCCCCGGCGGACAGGGCGGTGGGAGCGGGCAGGCCTCCGACTGCACACCAGTCGCGGTCCAGCTGGCCACCACGCCAGCCACCGCGCCGCGGCCTATCTCCCGCGCGCCAGACTGGAGGAGGTCGCTCAAATAATCTGGGAGCACCATCCGAGGTGCGACGCCTCAAAAACTTTGAGCAAAAATGGGCCGCGGTCGCTTCCCACTCTCGCAGTTTCCACCCGCCCTCATTCCAGTCAAAGACAGTGCCAGCAGCAGCAGCAGCATTATCATCAGCGTCCTCGTCATCCTCCTCTTCATGCTCATCCTTTGTCTGTTCCTGCACTTCCCCCTCGTGATCTGCCTCCCCGACTCCTCCTCCTCCTCCGCCTCCTCCTCCTCCTCCTTTTCCTTCTCCTCCTCCTCCTCCTCCTCCTCCTCCTCCTCCTCCTCCCTCTCCTCAACGCCGCGTTCCTTTTCATACTCCTCCAACTCCCATCCCCTTCGTCCTCTCAACGGTTCATTCTCCTGCTCCGCCTCGTCTTCCTCCGCCTCTGCGCCCTGCTTCCCCACCCCCTGCTCCTGCTCTTCATCCTCCTCCACGTCTCGCTCCCCCACCAGCTCCGCCTCCTCCTACCTCTTCCTGCTGCCCCACCCCGCTCCACCCCCCCTCCTCCTCCTCCTCCTCCTCCTCGCCCTCGTCATCACCGTCGTCGTCATCTTCAAAGTCGGCGGTACTGGCCGTAAGGCCTTCTTAATAAATAGATACGTATCCCAGGATTTCCTATAGTATAAGTTGTTCTGGTTGTTGTTCCATCCACATCCCATGTGTTCCCACATGTTACTGATAATCGACGTTTACTCGTGTCTGTCTCTATTGCTCCCGATTGGAACATTGACTCTAGGACGGCACCAGGAAGCCGTACAACTACGCCACGATGACCCCAAAAAGCTCTAAGACGTCTCCGCAGAGAGTCACCGAGGCTCCCTGATCGATACATTGGTGCAGATGTTTGCAATTTTCCCATGTCCCGCTCGTCGACTATGAAGACATCCCCATTACTGTTTTTTGGCGCGAAAGCGATCCACAGACGTTGCTTCGACGGTGCCGCTCCCAGACCCCTCCCCATTTCAACGTTGCGTTCGCGCCCGTTGTCGGGGTGCAAGCATCGGCATAAAATATGCCCGAAACTCCACCGCCAAGGCAGCCCCGTCTTCCAACGTTGAAATTGGCGGCACGGGTGTTCTGAACACAGCAGCGTTGTCCATAATGCTTGGTGGACGATTTTTTACGCCAACGGCGGTATTGTCTTCGGAAGGCTCCGAGAGGGTCCTGGACTCCTCCGAGAGTCCTCAGGCGCCGAAAATGCTCACGGAGGCCCCTAAAATTGACACCAAAGACGGCCCCATAACGGCTACGAAACGGCGCATCACCGCGCACACGCACACGCACACACGCACACACACACACACAAGCACACTGCCCCAAAATGCCCGCGCACGACAAGCCCCAAGACTTAGAAAATCAAAGGTTCGCTAGGGACTGGTTTCCTTTCGAAAGAGCCGAAACCGTCCCGAAAACCATTCGAGAAGGGTTCCGGAGGCTTTTCGGAGGGCGTCAGGAGGGTTTGAAGTGTTTTAATCGTTTCGGAGGAACCAACCCCTAGAGAACACTGGGTTGTCGAACCCAAGACCTCCGGAGGGGTGCCAAAAAATCCACAAGAGAGGCCCACTGAGGCCAAACAGCAAGCTGGAGACAGCCCCAAGACAGTCAGTCAGTCAAGCCTGGCGCACAGACGGCGCATTCGCAAGATAAAAAGTTATGCGTCTGGCAAGGAAATGCGGGCAGTGAGAAGGATACGAATTCACCTGCAAACGTATCGGCGCCACGCGGGAGGAGGGGGAGGAAGGGAGGGGGCGGAGGGGGAGGGAACGAAAAAGGGGGGAGGGACCACCTCAGGACCACTGTTGTGGCAGAAGTTTGTACACACACGAAGCCCACCGATGCTTCGGTCTGCCTCTCTTCCGGCATTGGTCCCAGACCCGAGGTAAATATGATCCGGGCTTGCAGGTGGGAGCTCGCAGCGGGTGGTCTTGTGACAACCCTGCGATTTTGTTGTATACCGAAGTCTGTCTCTCACAAAGCGCCTCACTGAGAGGGCGGGCTCGACATATGTCCAAAACTTGGTCGTTGGACACTCGACCAATATGAATGTGGAACGCGGCAAATACGCCTGAGACACTGCGCATTGAAACTGTTTACTCTCGTTTTGTCTGCTTTTAAAAGCCACCGTGCTTCTAAATTGTATTAAAGCTTTGGAAACACAATCGCGCTGTACAGCTCAAGTTTCCTAGATCTCGTAATGCTGTCGTGTGACCAACAACGCTGTAACGTTGTGAACACACCGCGTGCCTCTCCGAGGCGCCGCGTTAGCTCCGGCTTGGCGGTGGCGTCTGCGTTTAAAGACCAACTAAATAAACAACTTGCCGTGCAGGGACCACTGGGGTGCCCGAGGGCGCCTTGACAATCCCGTTGTTGTGTATATTAATGGCCACCGTTTTGGCCCAGTTTAATTCGAGGCCGTACTTTTTTCCTTCGCAAATCACAGCGTCTAGCAACGTCTGCAGTTTCTTGGCGCTGCTACTCGCAGCATTGTATAATCTGCGTATACATTGTCTGCGCAAACTAGAAATTCTGGTTCGACGACATCTGTGTGCACGCCCTCCACTGCGCGATCAACGTTGAAAACATCACGCTCTGCACCATAATGAACAAATACGGCGAGAGGGGGCAGCCTTGTGCTATGCCTGATGCTTGGCACCGCTGCGACGAATTACCCGCGGAATCCTGCCAAATAAATAACCGTGCTGAATAAATACTTCCTGTCATGTCCACCATCTCTTGTGGGATGCCAAACCTAGTAAGAGCTCCAATTAACAGGTCGTGCTTTATCTTATCCAAGGCTTCCGCCCAATCTATCAAAAACCGCGATGAGTCCAGGGGCTTTCGCCGCCTGCGCTGCATCGAACATGCGGCTAACAATATCTACGGCCTGGGATGTACTCCGGTTTGGTCGGAAACCGAATTGCGAATTCCGTATTCGGCTCTCCGCGCCTCCGCTTTGCAAGCGTTTTTGCATCATCCAGGCCAGGAGTTTGTAGGCAACGGGCAATAAAGATATCGGCCTGTAATTCTAAGGCAGACTAGTGTCCCCTTTTTGTGCAAGAGGGCGACTACAGCTACTTGCCCAAGACAGGCCATACCACAAAACGTTCACTGATTGGGAGACTTGTTTGCTGCCAGCTCTTCTGGGGGTCGGCGGAATGGCGTAAGCCTCTGAGAACCAAGGAGTGATGGGATGGACGGGAGGAAATGGAGGGAGGAACGGACGAGGAAGAAGGGCGGATCGCCGTCGCCGCCATCATTGCCAACATCACTAATTACCCCCCCCCTCAGACACCCCATACCCTGCCCTGTGCGCCTTCCGCCCCAGCCACAGGCCCTGCGTGTGGCCCCCCCCCCTGCGCACCCAGCACTTGCACACCACCAAGTCCGACATCAGTATCCTGTCCTCGAAGGTGGCCCGGAAGCAGCCGCGGGTGCCCTCGGGGGAGGCGGCAGCCGGCCCACGAAAGGATAATGATCGCGCACGGGGGAGGGCGGGACCCGGACTCTTCACGCGAGCAAGGGTGCTGTACCTGAACGTCGGGGCGTGCGTGCGTGCTGCCACAGCAGGCTTCTTGCGTCCCCTCTCCGCGGCCGCTTCTCTCCACGCCCATCGGGCTCCCACGTGCACAGTTCGCTTCGCTGTGGCCCAGCGGCGCAGCAGTGCTCTGCCACGGACCCAGTGGCCCGCCGCCTGCGTGACCCTGAGAGCCCAGGTGCGGTCGGACGATACAGAGAGAGGGAGAGAACATTTTCAGTGAGCACGGCCACGGGCGGTGGCACTGAGCACGATGGATAGCAGTGGCACGCGTGCTTTGGCTCGTGCACGAGGGAGCGGCGAGGAACAGGTGGAGGTGGAGGAGGGCGAGGAGGGAAGGAAGTCTCTCAGTGCCATCTCGGAGGCCTTAGGGCCTGTCAGGCCTGCCTTGAAGGCCTGGGGAGCGGCTGGGCCCAAACCCCCAAATCAGATAGGGCAAAAAGAGGAAGGCTCGACCGAGACCCCGCCCCTCTCCGGGTGGAGACCGTTGCCAAGCCTTCTCCAATTCTCGCATTTGTGAGGGTGAGCGAGCTGCTGACAGGGTGCACCCACCTCCGCGAGACGCTCTGCAGACTTGAACGACCCGCAATGGCGGTAGATGCAACAGGGAAGCGCAACGCATGCCGGCAGCACTGGGTCCATGGAGGGTGGGGGAAAGGAACGGGAGCAGGACTCCTGATGACGAGGGAACAAGATCGGGGAAGCTCTCCTCCTTCCCCCTTCTGCTCTCCCTCGTTTCTTGATCCACTTCCCCGCAACCCCTCCTCGCTCTCCCCTGCTCCTCAGGGACCCGTCCAGAGCATCAGGCACACGACTAGGAGCGGTCCAAAAGTGGCCCTCCTCCGCCTTCTTGATCTCGCCGCGAATGCCGCTGACGGTCTGGATCTTTGAGTGGCTGTACTTGCTGACCTTTGATGGAGAGCGGTGAGGAGCGGGGGTGAAGGGAGGAGGCAGAGGAGTCATCTGCGAATTGTGCGTGTGTGTTTGTGTTCGTGCTCGTGTTTGTGTTTGTGCTTGTGTTTATGTGTATGTATACGTGTTTGTGACTATTTGTTGTGTGTGTTGTGTCTGTGTCTGTGTCTGTGTCTGCGTCTGTGTTTGTGTTTGTGCTTGTGTCTATGTCTGTGCCTGTGCCTGTGTCTGTGTTTGTGTGTGCTTTTGTGGTTGTGTTTGTGGCTGTGGTAGAGCTTGTTTGTGTGTGGTGTTTGCTTGTGTGTGTCTGTGTGTTTGCGTCTGTGTGTTTGCGTCTGTGTGTTTGTGTGTCTTCGGCTGTGCTTCATCTGCTCTCCGCCGCTCCTGCTGCGCCTGCCCTGGCCTGCCTTGCCACCCGCCCCCCTCTCGGTCGCGCCCGTGCCGCCGCTGCGCCTCGCCCCGCCTCGGTCCCCCCGCACTGCTGGTGATGGCTGACTCTTCGGCGCCGCCTCGCTCCCTTCGCCTCTCGCAGCCCACGCCCGGGTGTGCGCACGGCACGGTCGATCTCCTCCGGTGCATCCCTGCCCCCCGGCTTCTCGAGTGGGCCGGCCGCGCGCGCAGGTTCGCCGCGTTCCGACCTCGTGCGCCCTCGACGCTGCCGCGCGAGGCCGCGACGCGCCCCCCAAGAGGCGCGTCTGCCGCCTCTGGCAGCAGAAAGCGGCAAGGACAAAACAGAGTGCAGACGATAAGGGAACGGAAGCCCCGATCGGACCAAATGCAATCCTCCCCCTCCCCCCACTGCACCTGCTCCTCCACCTCCTCCCGGTCCTGCTGCTGCAGGGGAGGGAGTGGGACATGGGCCGGAAGAGCATCTGAGCGACGAGAACAACGGAGCCGTACGCAAGAAGGCATCACGACCTTACGTCGCGGTTTTCGACGCGGTTTACGCGAGCCGCCAGCGCGGCACGCTGCATTCATTGGAAACGAGGGCGCTTACGCACGGCCTTACGCGGGCAGCTCACGCGCCAATGTACGCTTAGGTCGGGCATGTCCTCCTGTAGGCGGATTTTAAAGAACAATTAAAAATAGCCACAACTGATACAACATAGTCCAAAGAGCACGAAAAAATCGTCACCTGACCTTTTGTACTATTCTTGAGTATTCCTTCTGCAGAGGGATATGCTCGACTTTAATGGAGGCGCGCAGACGACCCCGCTCTCCTGCGTCGCTCCTTTGGGCCGAGGCGGCGGAGGCGGGCGGAGGCGGCCGAGGAAGCTCCACAGGGCAGGAGTCGTCTTGCTCAACCCAGCCTCTGGCATGGTCGAACAGCTAGAGCCGACTCGTATCATAAGGATGCGCGGTAAGGATTCAAGGGCCTTGGAAGGCCATGTTGGCGTTTTTCGAACGGGGTTGGCCAGCGAAAGTCGCTAAGGACGGGCCGAAGGGGCAAGGATGCAAGGGTACCCTTGGGAAGTTCGCCCATCCTTGATATGCGGGTCGACTGCGTCTCGAGACGCAAGTCTTCTATGCCCGAAGCGTGGCAAGCTCAGAAGTGCCTGATGGGGGGCGGGGGGGGGGGCGAGCCCTGCTGCAAGTTTCTCGGCTCGTGCCTGCGCTGAGCATCATCTCACCGATCTTGAGACGTACAGAGACGTACTAATACCAGATGTCCTCCTTGGAGGCGCGCGTCCGACCCGAAAATATGGTGTATACTCGTCTCTTGCAGAATATCTTTTCCTGAGTGGCGTGGCCCCAAAGTGCCCGCCACGACGCACCTGCTGTCCGATTTCTCGGCGCGTGCATCGCCCCCGGGGGGGGGGGCGCCGCGCACACAGTATTGACCTGGGTCAATCCAGACCCGGGCCAGTCAGGCTTTGCAGGATCCCGCAGGATCCTGCACCCAAGCCCGGGTCAGTGCACCCCCGGCCCTGCAAGATCCTGCAAGGTCTGGCGCTCTGGCTGACCCCCGTTTGCATTGACCCCCGTCTCTCGGCGGTGGACAAAGCTTCCTCTCATAAACCACCCTTTCGCGAAAACGGCTTAAGACCGAAACCAACGGACCTAGACCCGCAAAAATGACGGCCGCGACGCCCTCTCGCGAACCACAAACGGCCAATTCGCTAATCGACGAGTCAGGGCAGAATTAGGTCGGGCATGTCCCCCTACAGGCGGATTTTGGACGAAAAATGAAAGATACCAAAAGAAGATCCTCAAATAGCAAAAACAAAAATGCTCATAAAATCGTCCCCAGACTAATTCGTGACTATTGAGAAATATATTGACGTGCTCGGCTCAAGGGTATAGGAGGTCTACCCACCTCCGAGCCTCCAGGCTCTCGGAGGGGGACCTGTGCCGCGCCCGCCGGGCCTCGCGCGGGACACGTGCCCACCTTGGGGCGCGTGACCGGTCGAGGCCGAGGCACCGTGGCCCAGCGGGGCTGAGGGTAGACGAGCGCGCTCCACCACTCGCAAGGCAACTGCTCGCAAGTGGCATGGATCCGCCGCGGGGGGTCTGCGATAAATCACATCGAAGTAGGCATTTGTTTTTCGGACGTTTGCGAGTATGCACTTAGCGAGTAGTGGAACGCGCTGGGTGAAAAGGGATCGGTCAGAGGATGCCGAAGGGCAGGACAAGGGGGCGATGCGCGATGCGACCACCGTTGCGGACAGCGTCTGGGCCTAGAGCAGACCAGGTGGGTGAGGCCATGGCCTCTAGGATCTGAGGTGTCTGGATTCATGCAATGCGAGACATGTAAAAAGTTAGGAGGAGATGGGGAGGAGGAGGAAAAGAAAGTCCTTGGTGTCGGTGTCGGCGCGGGTTCGGCGAGATTACGTCATTGGTCTGAGTCCCGGGTGCTGGTCGACGTGAGGTCGGTGAAGTGGTGCTCGAGCGCTGTCCATGCTTCGGTGTCTTGGGCTGTTTGCGTCCATGTGATGTCGTTCGGTTGTCCTTTCGAATGGGCTTGCGTGGGCGGTCGGTGGAGGTCTGGTCTGCGTTGACGTAAGTAAGTGGTGGACGAAGAGGACACGGAGGACATAAGTAAGACGTAATTAAGTAAGTAGGACGTAAGTAAGTAAGGACACGGAGGACGTAAGTAAGTAAGACGTAAGTAGGACACATTGGAGGTCTGGTCTGCGTTGACGTAAGTAAGTAAGTAAGTAAGTGGTGGTGGACGTAAGTAAGTTGCGTGGGCGGTCGGTGGAGGTCTGGTCTGGAGGGGGGGGACAAGACGAAGATGAGGAGGAGGAGGAGGAGGACGTCGAGGACGAGGAGGAGGAGGAGGAGGAACGCAACAAGCTTGTTATTCATGTCTGGGCAACGTCAAGAAAGAAGGGGGAGGAGGAGGAAGAAGCAAGACCATCGGCCAACATGGGATCGGGCCGCGTCCGCGCCGGGACGCACAACGGCGCCATGCGAACCTCGGGCCGTCGGAGTATAGGAATCGGATCGGATCGGACCGGCAGAGATCGATCTCGAAGCAGATTGATCGGATCGACATGTGCCATGGGAGGCAGGCAGGAGGCAGGGACGGGGGAGGGAAGATTGTCTAGAGGCCGAGGCACCAACCGGGATGGAAGCCCGAGCTCCACTCTGGGCGCCTCCTCCTCCGTTCTGCAGGCTGGGCTCTTCCACCTGTGATGTCTGTGGGTGTTGTGGAGTCTCTGCGGAGACTGTGCAGGCCAGGGTTGGACTCTGGAGCAAGATCTGAGGCCCAGGACCAGTGAGACTCTGCGAGGATTCAGGCCCCAGCTTTGCAGAGGTGTTGGGGATTCAGGAGGACGTTACGCGCCAGCCGAGATCGCAGACGAGGACGAGTTCGCGCAGCTCGAGGGCAAAATAGCGTTGGCACACTCCGTCTCCAACCGAAGTGCTCAGCACCGAGAGAGACGCACGAGCCACGACGACTGCCCTCGTCAAAATAACCTCAAAAATGCCGACCACGCCCCTGCGATGTCGGCGCGCCCTTCAATGTCGATAGACGCCCCTCCAATGTCGGGGCCAGGGCAAAAGTGGTCTGGCCGGGAACGACTCGGAAGGTCGATGATGACCGACATTGGAAGGGCGGCGCACACAAGCACCTCGCAGTCACCGCTGCTCTGTCCAGCATCTCCCCACAAGCGGTTCAGCCACGTAATACACTCTTGAGGCTAATTTTGACGATGAAATTGTAGGAGGGGGTGGAGCACGAGGAGCACACGGATGCGTGCGGGGCTGCGGATGCGACCCGCGTGCCTGCCGCAGCTGGGCGGTCCCCTGGAAGAGGGCGAGCGCCGGGGAGCGCACTCGCACTGGAGCAGAAGGGAGCGAGAGTGACGGCGCCTCGAGGGGTCTGCGGGCTACCTGCCCCAGGCAAGCGCGTTCCACGACTCGCACAAAAACTGCTCGCAAACAGCCTGGATCCGTCGCCCGGGATTTGCGGTAGATCTTTCACACATCGAGGTAAACATGTGTCTGTCTGCCGTTTGCGAGTTAGGCACTTTGTGAACTGTGGAACGCGCTCGGTGATATCCACACGACGGAAGGGGGCGGGAGGCCAGGCGGGCCCAGGCGGGGCTGCGCAGGAGAGGAGGAGGTGGAGGTGGACACCGAGGAAGGGGAGCCGTCTCGCACGCGACCTTCGTCTCACCTCGCGCGCGATGCGCGAGGTAGAGAAGAGGAGACGCGCAACGAGGAATTCGCTCGCTCGTTCTCTTACAACCGCTCTATGACGTGTTGGCGCGCTGGCGGGACCTGGTCGGGGCGGACGCGCGAACTGGCTCTGATCGACCAGGGAAGGGGACGTGAGCCAAGAGGATGGGAGAAAAGAGGAAACGGAAAAGGGGGAGGTGGAGAAGGAACTGTGAGGAGCGGGACTGGCCGAAGGGGTGCTTTTGGGAGCCCCGAGAGCGCGCCTCCAGGTCGGAGTTGAACATGCCCTTGACGAAGGCCGTGTTCCTGAAGATCTTGTAGGGCTCGCCCACCAGCTTCAGCTTCTTCCTGCCCCGGCTGCAGCACGAGGGGCAGCACATGGACAATGAGTTCGAGCCCTGCGGCGCAAGATGCCCCCCCACGGATACCCCAAACCAAGATTGAGAGTGCCGCAAGGAAGGGGGCTTGCTCGGGTGGACGAAAATACTCGTACCCCAGAACCGCCGTCCATACCACGATTAGCGTTGACTTCGGAAGTGAGGGGAACAGGAGGAGGAGGAAAGGAAGGAAGGAAGGAAGGAAGGAAGGGAAGGAAGGGAAGGGAGGGAGGGGAGGGAGGGGAGGGAAGAGGGGAGGGAAGAGGGTGAAGGGAAGGGCTGAGGTGGGGAGGGAGGGAGGGAGCACGGCTGGCCGGAATCAGGTGCGAGGTGGGCGAGTCGCACAACAACCGCCCCAATAGTTGCCGCGACTCGCACTCCGCGAAGCACACAAGAAGTCACAGGCTTCGCGGCGCCCACGGACCAGGCCGTCCCCGCCTGGGATCGCCGCAACCCCCGCACGAGGGTGCTGCAGCAAGCCGTCCTTGACCTTTCCACTGCCGACCCGCCCACCGGCCGCCAATTCTCCTTCGAAAGAATCGAAACGACGGCGAGCCTGGGGGGCAGTGAGAACGGGCGGGCCCTCTCGAAAGGCGCGAAAGACCCGCGCCTTCCGAGAAGTTCTCCGAGTTTTCCCCGAACACAGAAAACTTCTCAGAAGGCCCGAGGCCTTCGGAAAAGCCCCGCCGCCTTCTGAGCAGGGCGACAAGAATTAACTACACATCCACTGCTCCCTGGCCATGGGTTCAGGACGGGCCTGGCCAGGGAGCAGTGCATATCGTCGCCCTGCTGTGGATGGCCTTATCCTCCTCATGTTCCCCCCCTCGCTCGCCGCCGCCGCGAGCCTCCGACCAAGGCGGAGAGCCTCAGGGACCCCGTCCTCCCGTGGCAGCAGGGGCCTCCCGGCACCTCCGAGATCCCACTGGGCGTCTCAGGCGTGGGCGGTTCAACGGGCCGGATGTTCCAAACGCCCTTCTTGGTATGCACACGCATTACATTACATTACATTACATTACATTACATTACATTACATTACATTACATTACATTACATTACATTACATTACATTACATTACATTACAGTACGTTACATTACATTACATTACATTACATTACATTACAATACATTACGTTACATTACATTACATTACACTACATTATATTACATTACATTACAATACATTACATTACAGTACATTGCACTACGTTATATTACATTCCAGCACACTACATTACACCAAAACACAATACATTAGTTAAACTACATGATATTATATCCACTGATATTACATTACACTACACTGCATGGAAACATACATCCATGACAATCCACTACATTACAACACAATACAACGCATTATATAGCATTACATTTCGTTACAACACATTACATGGCATGACAGCATCATGCATATGGAGTACATTGCGATACGTTACTTTACATTACATGGCATTCACTTACATTACACGACATCACATTACACCGCAGTGCATTACACTACTGCACAATATACTACATTACACTTTCTTCCATGTCACTACATTACATTTCACCGTATTACATTACATTACATTTCATTCAAGTACATTACATTGCCCTACACTACATCACAGCACAGTACTGCCCATTACAATACGCTACAGTTCACTTCGTTACATTACACTACACTACACTACCTGATAATACATTACATACCACTACACTACGTCACACGACATTACATCACATGGAATTACACTATATTCGACTACATTACACTATATTGCATTTATTTTCGTAAAATTACGTTACGCAACACGACATTCCACTGCATCGCACTACAATAACTTATCTTACGCCCCATCACATTGCATTCCACTATCTGACATGATTTTACATTACATTACGCTACACTACATTTCATTACATTACAGTACAGTGCAGTACAGTACATTCGTCTACATTACACTACATTACATCCCAATACACTACACTGGACTACATTACATTACATTACATGACAGTAGATCGCATTACATTGCAACGCATTATATTACAACACATCACAATACACTCCACTACATTACATTAGTTTACACTACACTACATACATCACACTACACTACATTACACGACATTGCACCACAATGCGCGATATCACATTGAATTATACTCCATTACAACACATCATATTACAGTACACTACAGTCAACCAGTATAGTAAGGATGCGCGATAAGAATGCACGGGCCTTGGACGCCCATCTCTGAGCTTTTCGAGCGGGGCGCTGCCAGCGAAACTTGCGAAGGAGGGACCGAGGAGGCAAGGATGCACGGGTACCCTTCGGAAGGTTGCCCATCCTTACTACGCGGTATGACTGTACATTACGTTAAATTACGCTACATTACAGACATGATTGCTTCATATATGTATATACACAAACATTGATACATACAATTATGTATATGTAGATACGCACAGACATACACATATATACATACATATATATATATATATATATATATATATATATATGTGCTCGTGGCTCGGCCTCCTCGGACCCGCTCCGCGCCAAGAAACGCCGTGCCGAGAGCTATACAGATGCAGGCAGCCGGGAGGCTCAAATGGTGCCTCCTGTAGCTGGTCGTTATTTTCTGAGATAGTCACACATGCCGTGCAGACCTCTAGGGGGCCTGGCCGGAGGTCACGCAACGGTCACCTTTGGAACATCCAGCTAGACAGACAGACAGACAGAGCGAGAGAGAGAGAGAGAGTGAGAAAATTATATACATATAAACACAAGACTGCAGTGGCGCTTCGCGCCATAGTCCTTGAAGTTTGGTATGCAAGCGGAATTGCAGGAAGGTCAAGCCGACAATTTAGTAGTACATCCTTGTTGCCTTTTCCGGCATCGCCATTATAAACATGTTATTCGTTACCCTTCCTCCATGCTTCTTTTTCCTCATTCTCGCCATGTCCTGCGCATTCTTCCCATCCTCCTCAGCTCTTGTGCGGAGGCTCCTCCTTGGAGAGCCTCTGGGGGCCTCACAAAAGTTGTTCAGGCTTTCTTAAGGCCTTCTGGAGGCCTCCTGGGCGTGTTCTGGGGGGCTCGGGGGGCTTCCTCAGGCCGCCCTGTCTCCAACCGCGGTCTCCCTGAACGACCCGATCACGATTTGGAATGCTTCGGAGGGCGTCTTGGGGCCATCTTGGGCCACCATGGGGCTCTCTTAGGACCATCTTGGACCCCTGTTGTGCCGTTTTGGGGCTCTCTTGGACTGCCTGGAAGCCCTTTCGGATGGCCGTGGGGCGATTTTGGAGACTCCCAGGCGGCTTCGGACGCCCAGAAGACCGCCATGTTGGAGCGTCGGGAAGCCGAAAAGAGGAGAACCCCCAAATTCACCAAAAACCGAAAGAAATTAAATGATTTTTGCCACTTGGGGTCTTCTTGGGGGTGCTCTTGGAGGCCTCTTGGGACGTTTCGGAGCGATCTTCGGGGGTATGACGGCTTCTTGAGGTCGTGGACCCTATTGGAACTCTCTGGGGTCGTTTCGGGAGCGCGCCGGAACGCCTGGAACCCGTCTGGGGCTGTCTTCGGGCTCTCGTGAGGTTCTCCCTGCTCGTCTGAAGGGTTGCCTGGAGGCCCGGGGAGGGCCAAATTCGTTAGGGGGGGAGAAAGAGAGAGAGAGAGAGAGAGAGCGAGAGACAAAACAGAAACACAAGAGATCGAGGCAGAGAGAGTGGGGGAGGTGGGAAAGGACACCAGGACTGTTTCCATCTTGGGAGATACCGCGGCGACCAGGACAGCATCTCGCCCCATCCGCGCGCGCACTCCTGATGTCAAAGTTCGGCGCGGACTCGAGCACGCCCCCGGTCGCGCAAACGCGGAAGTGGCTGACCTCCCGGTCGGCCGCAGCTGGGGGAGCCGTGGTCCTGAATCCTGGGAAGCGAACCCAACCCCAGGGTTACACAAATATCTAAGTATACACACAAATAACTGCTTTACATGTCTAAGTATACACACAAATTGTCTTGAATCCTGGCGTCTGGTGCGGAAGAGGGGTCGTGCCCGACTCAACAGGAGTTGGAGAGAAGCCAGGCCAGTCATTGCTGAAGGAACAAATCAGGGTGGTGATCGGATTAGCCTGAGGGGTGTACTACGAAATGCCAGTACACGTCCATGTGAGCATGTATGTCCTTCTGGTACTCTCCCCCCGCCCCCGCGCACTTCACCGGATGAGTACAGCTAGTGAAAGATTTTGTTTCAATGAGATTTCAACTAGCATCTTAATGTATCGGGGGCGACTTGGGGGGAACGTCATGTCCTGTTCCTCGTTGCAACCGTAGCCCTCATCTTTCGCCTCATCCCCGCGTCCCTCGTCCTCGTCCTCGTCCTAGTCCTCGTCGTCGTCATCGTCATCATCGTCCTCCCTCCGTCCTCCGTCCTCCGTCCTCCTCCTCCTGCTCCTCCTCATCATCATCATCACCATCATCATCATCAGCCTCATCATCAGCATCATAGTCACAATGATGATAATTAATTATGGTAAAAGCAATGATACTTAAAATGGCAATTTCAATCATCAGATTACGATTCACACACGTGTGAAGAATAGTATGGACAGTGACATTGATAATGATGATACTACTCATCGTATTTCGAAAACAAGTCGAACGATTCACTGTAAAAGAACGATGGAGATACTAATCATAATACTGGCACTCACAGTACCAACCATATTTGTTTAAACAAAATGATAACAATCCAGAATTCCTGAACATACGACAATTACTACTAAAAGCGTACTACTACTAATACGGATAAAACTAGTATTAACAATAATCGTACGGATATAAATCATAATAACCATAACAATGTCAATACGATCACTAATAATATCAATAATAACAACAAAACATAATAATACTAATAATGAGACATATCATGAGAAACCCATCATCATCAGCAGCATCAGCATCAGCATCAGCATCAACATCAGCATCATCATCATCATCATCACCATCAGAAGCATAACATGTCGGCGGCCCGCGAGAACCTCTTGGATCGGCACTGGACCCCCCCTCCCTCACAAGCGCACGGAGCGCGCCAGGGGCGGCGCCAGAGGCGGCGCCAGAGGCAGCGTCGACCCAAGAATTCCGCGCGGGCCGCCGAAAGCTGATGTCTATGCTGTTTCCATTTTCTCCGGAAGACGGAAGGCCCTTCATTGTGATGTCTTCTTGGGGAGAAAGACTAGGCTTAGGTCGGGCATGTATCTCTACAGGCGGATTTCCGAAGAAAAATAAACATGTGACGAAATACTGAAAAACAATGTTAATGATACCGGAGACAAACCCCAATCATAATCTTTTCAGGGCTCTAGGGCTATATAGGCTATTGGGCTATTGGGCTATTTGGTTTTATTGGGCTATTGGGCTATAGGGCTATAAGATTTTAGGGCTGTAGGGCCATGGGGCTATAGGGCTTTAGGGCTATTGGTCTATGTGGCTATATGGCTATAGGGCTATGTGACTATAGGGCTAGAGGGCGATAGAGCACCCGAGTCCCCGGGCACCCCTGGGCACCTCCGGGCACCCCAGGGCACCTCGGGGCACCCCTGGGCACCCCCGGGCACCCGGGCACCCCTGGGCACGCCCGGGCACCCGGGCACCCGGGCACCCCCGGGCACCCGGGCGTGCGGCGAAAATCGGCGGCTAACCTAACCTAACCATATGAATCCGCTAGGACCCCTACAGAGGCAAGCTCTGATTGGGGAAATAGCGAAAAATCGTCCCCTGATTATTTTTCGACTATTTTTGAATACTCTTTCTGTAGAGGGACGTGCCCGACTTTAGACTGGGCGATCGGCGCTTGATCCGTGCCCATGCTCACGCCCCGACCACACGCTCTTGTGTCCGTGTTGGCGGCGAGCCTGGGGGGAAGTGAGAAGGGGCAGGCCTTCTCAAAGGCTCGGGAGTCCTCCAGCCTTCTGAGAAGTTTTCCAAGCCTTCCCCGAAGCCGCGGAAAACCTCTCCGAAGGCCCGAGGCCTTCCGAGAAGCCCCGCCGCCTTCTGAGAAGGCCCTCTCCTTCTCACTCCCCCCCCCTCGCCGCCGACCGTGCCCTGTGGGCAGCAGGGACATGGACCAAGATGGATCGAGCGTCGATCGTCGAGAGACGTGAGCAAGACATCCGTGAGCAGGCTCAGGGGCTCCTCCCTTGACTACCTACCAAACCACCCCAACCAAACCCGAAGACCGAATTTCGCCCGAATTCCGGGTTGGGGGTGTACGAGTTCATATGTTTTTTCAATGTTCCCCGACCCCCCCCCCCACCAGAAATGGAGGGCAAATCGGGGCCTTCGGGTTGGGTTGGAGTAATTTGGTGAGCGGTGATCCCTGGAATCGGCGCGCGCGCCACGAGGCGCTCCGAGGCGCTCCTCGACCGGCAGCGCCGGACAGCCTGTACCTCCGCTGCGTTCTGCTCCCCGGGAACCTCCGATGTCTTGACTTGTTCGATGCAGGAACACAGCAAAACCACAGGAAAGCGCGGCATTGACAGTGTAGCTCCACACACGTGACAAATTTGAACGAGCAGGAACACAGCAAAGCCCTGCTCGCAACGCACACCGCCAGAGACGGCGGAGAGCTTGAGAGATCCACCTACCAAAAGTGCATCCCTCCGCGAAACTTGACTCAAATTTTTCCCGCGCCGCGTCGGCACCCCCAAACCCCCAAATTTCCATGTTGATGCCGAAAGGCACGACTCGATTTTGTCCGTCGGCGTCCGCAGACAACGCCGCGCGCGCAACTGAACATTGAAACTGGAGTGGGGAAACTTGCGTTAAGTTTCGCGGAGGGTTGTAGAGGCCTCCCTAATTGGGTCCAAGTGCAGTCAACCCGTATGAGGGCGCACGATAAGGATGCAAGGGCCCTGGAAGGCCACGCGGACACTTTGCGGGCGTGGCGCGGCCAGCGACAGCGGCCAAGGATGGGCCGAAGGGGAAAGATGCAAGGGTAACCTTGGAAAGTTGCTCATCCTTCCTATGCGGGTCGACTGTAGAGGTCTCACAAATGAGGCCCGAGCATATGGGGTCGGAGGGTCGCGCCGCAAACCCAATGCATCGCCGATGCATCGGCGATGCGTCGGCGACGTCTGCGATGCATATGTCGCCGTCGGCGCCGAGAAAATCGGTCTTCACATCGGGCCGCGTCGGCCGTGCATCGGCGACGCGGCGCAGTCCTCCGAACCCTTCTGCTCTGACCCCGTCTGGGAGGCCTCGAAATACGGGGCTCCCGGAGCTCTGCCCGGGCGTGGACCAACCCCTTGCTCAGCGCAAGCCCAGCTCTGCCAACTCAGGAGAAAGCTGCGGTGCAATATGTTTAGTTCGGGCATGTCCCCCTACAGGCGGATTTTGGACGAAAATTAAGACTAGTCAAAAATACGCAAAACAGATTCAACTATACTCAAAAAGATCGTCCCCAGACTATGTTTTAAAACTATGTTTGCATATTCCCCCTGTAGAGGGACAGGCCCGGCTTAACAATATGTCCGGGGTGCTTCCCAAACACAGCTCGGCGAGTATGTGAGGCCGCGAGTGGCTCTCGGACCTGGCTCAACCCAAATCCAGCTCCACCGGATCCTGCAGATCCATCGCTCTGGCCGAGCCCCGTTTGCGCTGAACCCCGTTAGCTGCCTGCTAGATCGGGGCCACTTCCCGCAATCCCGGGCAGTTTTCCGGCGGCCCTGGGGCTCAGCGAGGGCCCCCCGACGCCGAGGACGACGGAAAACCGCCGTCTCGAGCTTGGATCGTCGGGAACGAAAAAGGAACACTTCAACTTTGCCTTCGGGGGTGAGGGGTGCGAAGCAAGGGCATTTCGTAGTTGTGGTTATTATCATGTTGCATCGCCTTGCCGCCATGGGTGTGGGCACTGTTTATCCGGGCATTTTTGTCCGGGCACCAGAACGAGAAGGATGCTTCGAAAGAAGACAGACTGGAACGAGAAGGGAACGAGAAGGGAACGAGAAGGGGGGAGAACGAGAATGACACGAAAAAGGGAACGAGAAGGGAACAAAACGGGACCGAGAAGGGAAGGAGAAGGAAACAAAAAGGAAACGAAAAGAAAACGAGAAGGGAACGAGAAGGAAGCGTCGAAAGAAGCCCAAGGAACAAGGAGAAACACAGACAGGGGAAAGGATCGCGCCTTCTGCCAGGACCGGAAGGCCATCACGCCCGCGTTCGGGGGCACCATGGGCCCGTACATGGTCATTACCTCGGCGCTCCCCGTCCTCCTCCTCCAGCTTATTTCCCCTTTTCATACCACTCCTCCTCCTCCTCTTCCTCCTCCAGCTTCCTCTTCATTCTCCTCTCTTTCGGCATCCTCATCACCATCATAATCATCATCATCATCATCATCATCATCATCATCATCATCATCATCATCATCATCATCATCATCATCATCATCATCATCAACATCACCATCATCAGATCCTCACCATCATCATCATCATCATCATCATCATCATCCTCACCCTCATCCTCATCATCCTCATAAACATCACCATAACGGTTATCATCTGAATATTCATCCTCATCCTCCTTCTCCTCCTCCTCATCGTCATCCTCATCATCATCACCATTACCATCATCATCATCACCATCATCATCACCATCCCAGCTCATCATCATCATCATCATCATCATCGTCATCATCATCACCATTATCATCATCATCATCATCGTCATCATCATCATAATCATCATCAGTAACACCAGCATCATCATCATCATCATCATCATCACCATCATCATCATCATCATCATCATCATCATCATCCACTTCATCATCCACATCATCATCATCATCATCATCAGCAGCATCATCATCATCATCCTCATGATTACCATCATCATCATCATCCTCATCAGCATCATCATCATCATTATCATCATCCTCATCATCCTCATCGTCATTAGCAGCATCACCACCATCATCATCACCATCATCATCGTCATCATCATCATGATTACCATCATCATCATCAACATCATCAACATCATCATCAGTATCATCAGTATCAGCATCATAATCGTCCCATCACTATCAACATCGTCATCATCATCTTCATCATAAACATCATCGTCATCATCGTCAGTGTCATCATTACCGTCATCGTTGTCGTCATCGTGATCGTCGTCGCCGCTGTCGTCGTTGCCGTCGTCGTCGCCGTCGTCGACATCATCGTCGTCGCTCATCATCACCATCACCATCATCATCAGCATGATCACCTGAATCATCCTTATCATCAACATCCCATCATCATCAACAACATCATCATCATCAGCAGCAACAGCAGCATCATCATCACCAGCACCAGCACCAACATCATCATCACACCACCACGACCACAATTAACCACCACCACCATCATGATCATAGTCAACATCGTCATCATGAGAAGCAGCAGCAGCCCGTCTTTCTCTGTCTCTCTTTCGCTCTTTCTCTCCTCTCTATCTCTGTCATCCCTTTCTCTCTCTCTCTCTCCCTATCCATCTGTGTCGTCCCTCTCTCTCTCTCTCTGTCACCCTCTCTCCTGCCCTCTATCCTCCCTCCCTCATCTCTATCTCTCTCTCTCTCTCTCTCCTCCTCTTCTCCTCCTCCTCCTGCTCTTCATTCCCCTCCTTCGCACCCTCCTCCTTCCCCTCACCCCCCCTCCCATCCCGCCCCCTCCTCGATCCCGTCCCCCTCCTTCGGCTTTCCTCATGCGAGGCACAGAGGTCGCGCTTAACAGCTGGGGGCCTGATGGGCGGTCTTGACAGCGGCTGCTCCGGGGAGAAGTCGGGGGCCCTCGGCAGCCAGGGGGAGCGAGGCCCGCTGGGCCCTCGGCGCAGTGGGCGTGCTCCAGCGTGTACTTCAGGTACCTGCCCACGGGGACGCCAGGTCCAAAATCAGTGTGGCCCTCCTCAAGCTCCTCATGTTCCTCCTCCTCCTCCTCCTCCTCCTCATCCTCCTCCTCCTCCTCCTCCCTCTTCCCCGCTCCTCCTTCTCGCTCTCCTCCTCCTCCTCCTCCTCCTCTTCCCCGCTCCTCCTCCTACTCCCCGCTCCATCCCTTCAACTTAGAAACGATTCCACCCTGTCGCACCCCCCAGACGCGTCTAAATGGCTGACCAGGCGTTTCGCCTGAGAATTCCTCATCATTTATGATCCTGAAGCTCAAACTTGCAACATCTTTTAGAATGGAGGGCGGGTCGATTTCAAAATGTGGCTCTCGCCTTAGCGCCGCGCACATTCGTTCTAGCTGATGGAGGGCGTGTCGTCTTCGAAATGTAGCGCGCCTCGAGCATTCGTCTCAAACCTTGCAGCAGTTACAAAGATGGAGGGCGGGTGGTCTTCAAAAAGAAGCTCTCGCTTTAGAGTCGCGCGCACTCGTCTTAAACATTTGCAGCTGCTTTTAGGACGGAGGGCGGGTGGCCTTCAAACTGTGGCTCTCGCCTTAGCGCCACGCGCAATCGTCTAAAAAGTTTGCACCGGGGATTCGTTAGGTTGAAGTTCCAAAAATGGTGTTCTGGCACGATGTAAGATAGGACTGTCAGGGCGCATCTGTCACATTTTGCTGTCCAAGTTCCAGGGGTGGCGTGCTGCTGCGATTCAAGACTGTCAGGACACAACAGTCACGTTGATTCGCGGCGTTGAAGTCCCAGGAGCGGTCTTGGCACGACTGAGGATTTTCTAGCGGTTATCTTTCAATGACGCACTTCCCGCCATGAAAATACACTCGTGTAGGGACCTGTGAAGAGGGAACTTGGAGGGAATGGTATTGCAAAATCGTGGATGCGTCTTGGGTTTCCACTGGTCCTCCCCCTCCTCCTCCCCCTCCTCCCCCTCCTCCTCCTCCTCCTCCTCCTCCTCCTCCTCCTCCAATCAGATCGCGCTCTGACGCTCGATCTCCCTCGGCCGTCCGCGAGGCGCGCGGCGCGGACACCGCGCGGGCGAGATGCCAGGCCCCTCGGCTGCCCCGTCCTGAGGCGGCTCTTCGGGGACGGGCTGCCGGGGTGTGCCAACCGGGCCCGACGCACCATGACTCAGCGACTAGGCAGAACGCTGACGCGCGACCTTACGCGGACAGCTGACGCGCGAGCGTCGACGCAGTCGACGCCGCTTTCGTCCGTCGCTCACGTGTGGAGCGTGGGCGAGAGGGCGGTACGGGCCCTCGGATTCCTGCGCCTCGGTGGAGTGTGCCAGCCCGGGCCACCCAGCTCCACGCATCGCTCCCCGCGGTGCGCGGCGCGCGATCATCTTCGCGCCCAGCGCCCTCGCGTCGCCCCCATGGAGACGGACAGCCGCTCTGGCCCAGACCGCGACGTGCGATTCGCTTCGCTGCCCCGCGGATGATGTAGGGTACGGGCTCTCCTCCTCCTCCTCCTCCTCCTCTTCTTCTTCTTCTTCTTCTTCTTATTCTTATTCTTCTTCTTCCTTCTCCTCCTCCGCCTCCTCCTCCTACTCCTGCGTATCGTTGATTCTGAGGCGGCCAGCTTGCACGCGCGGGCGCGGTAGAGTCTGTCACCACTCGGGAGGGGCTGAGGAGGCAGGCCCCCCTTCGGGCTTGAATCAAGCGGGGGCTTGTCCAGGTTCGCCCGCTGGCGGCGAGCGGTGGTCGCCTCTGTTCGAGTCTCGCAGTCGCATGGCCTCCCCTGTTTCCTACTCCTCCTCGTCCTTCTCGCCTTGGTCCTCCCTCCTCCTGCGTCCGTCCCTCCCCACTTCTCATTTCATCCCTCCCCCCTCCCCTGAACTACTCTCCCCCTGCTCCCTCCCCCCTTATTCTGTGAGCACGCGTTGGCCGCTATGCTGCCGTCCATCGCAAGGAACCACCTGTTAAAGGCGCACGCAATGTGCGAACATCTCCAGCTACCGCCGACGTCACCGTGCTGCTGCAACTAGACCGCACATGCTGCTAACGATTCTGCGAGGAAGGCCGCGCTCAGTCCCCCAACAATGAGGTTCGCAACCTGGAAGAATGCCAGCATGTCGTTCCTTCCGGCTGATGGACAAAAACCTGCACCTCTTTGAGAGCATCCCCCGCGCCCCCGAGCAAATATTGGCGGGCTTCGCCGCATCGACTGGCCGAAAACCTGCACCCCGCTGACGATGCCAACCAGAATTGAATCGGGGGCAAGGGGGCGCGTGGAAGTTCGCACTCGGCGCCCTGGTCGCGTGGGCGGCGCAGAATGTAGTCCATCAATCATCCCTCGTGGACCCCGCCCTTCCGCTCGCACGCCACCGCCCCCGTCCCGACCCCCGGGCGCCGCATGCGCTTCTCGCCCCTGTCCTCGAGCGAGAAGGTGGGCACGCTCTGGTACCGCCTCGCCGGGGCGGCGAGCCCGGGAGCGCCCGGGATCCCAGAAGACGACTTCTGGCCTGAGGTCGGGCATGTCCTCCTACGGGCGGATCTTGGAAGAAGACTAAGACATAGTCAACAAAAAGAAGCCAACACATAGTCAGAGCCAAAAGGAGTCGAAACATCGTCCCAGGACTCTTTCTGGACTGTTTTTGAATTTTCCTCCTGTAGAGGGACATACCCGACTTGACTCTGGCCTGGAGAGGGGCTTCAATCTCCCGGGGGGCGCGAGCAGGGCGCGAGCAGGCTCGCTTGATGGGCCTGTTTTCCACCACCACCACCATCACCATAAGTTCGAGGGGGGAAAGAGGGGGATGATGATGATGTTGATGATGATGATGATGATGATGATGATGATGATGATGATGATGATGATGATGATGATGATGATGATGATGATGATGATGATGATGGTGATGATGATGATGATGATGATGATGATGATGATGATGATGATGATGATGATGATGATGATGATGATGATGATGATGACGAGGAGGAGGAGGAGGAGGAGGAGGAGAAGAAGGAGGAGGAGGACCCCCTCCCCCTCCAACTTATGGTGGTGGTGGTGGAAAACAGGCCCATCATCGCCGATCCTTGCCGCCGAAGCGCCAGGGCTGCGAGCAAGGCCCACACGCTGCAGGGGGCACCGCAGCGCCAGGGCGGGGCTCTCCCGCGACACGCTCAGGCAGCGGGCGGAGGCCTGCCGTGGGCTGTCGCAGAGACGGGGAGGGGGGCGGAGGGATGAGCTGACTACCTAAGGATGCGCGATAAGCGATGCTGGCCAGCCAAAGTCGCTCAGGAGGGGCCGAAGGGGCCAGGATGCAAGGGCAGCCTTGGAAGGGTTGCCCATCCTTACTATGCGGGTTGACTGTACCACACCACCCCAACCCAACCCGAAGATCCGAATTTCGGGTTGGGGGGGGTACGGGTTCCGCATGTGTTTGTTCAACGTTCCCCGACGCCCCCCCCCCTCTGGAAATGCAAGACCAGTCGGGGCCTTCTGGTTGGGTCGGGGTGGTTGGGTGCGCGATGAGAGGTGGGCGGTTTGGAGGCCTGGAAATAGGCACCAACACCAACACAGGGGGTTGCCTCCACAGGGGGAAGATGATCCTGGATTTCGGTGTGGATGGTGATATTTCGGCCACCTTGGAAGCCAGAACATTGCCACCATCACCGAGATCGGGATCTTCTTCCCTCGGTGGAGGCACACCGCCGATACTGGTGTTGGTGTCAACCTCTAGGCCTGCGAGCGCGGGGAGGAATGTCCAACCACGTCTGCCAGTCCGCAGGCTCGCGTCAGGATCCGGAGTGGGAGGCTCGCGCAGCGTGGCGCAGGTTCGCGCAAAACGTTCGCCAGTCCGCAGGTTCGCGCAATGAGCACTAAGATTAGGTCGGGCATGTCCAGGCGGACGGAGGATTTTAAAATAAACATGCCCAACATTAGAAAAAAATCGTCGCCAGACTATATTTTGACTATTTTTTGATATTCCCCCTGTAGAGGGACAGGCCCGACTTAAGACTAAGACGAAACTGCAGAGCACAAGTCGGGCGCGCTCCCTGCCCCCCTGCCCTTCCGGCCTTTGCAGCACCCCTCCCTGCTGCGCCTTCCCCCTACGCTGCAGCCCGTGGAACGCAGGAGGGGCAGCTGAGCGACGAGGCATGTCGTGGCCCCCTGGGGATCATGGCAGCGAGGCCCGCGACGGACGGCTTGAGTAGGGCTGAGGGTCAGAACGCGCCTTCCTCTGCAGGACCACCGATCGACCCACGAACCCGGAAAGGAATATGGAAATGTAAAGCATGGCGGCGTTTCAAAGACACCTGATTGGGAGACGGGCAAATGCAATGCCAATGCTGAGTGCATCGATCTTGATGTACCGTGCCGAGGGCTGTGCTGTGCTGCGCCGTGCTGAATTGCAATGCGCCATGCCGCGATTGTGCTCTATAGCGTTGTGGATCGAGTCCTCATCTGCATCCGAGTCCTGACCGAACTGATCTGGATCTTAAGCTCGAGCTGCCTCAGCACATAGTAGCTGCCCCAGGACTAATTGACAGGGGGACACATGCTAATTAGGAGGACGCGCCGCGGAACGTCCCAAGGGACGCGCCAGGCGACGTGCCAGGGGACTTGCCATGGGCACGCACCGCGGGACGTGCCAAAGGGACGCGCTACGGAACGTGCTAATGGACGTGCCACGGGACGTGCCAAGGGACGCGCCGCGCGACGTGCCAGGGGGACTCGCCACGGAACGCGCCAAGGAACGCGCCAAGGAACGTGCCAACTTGCAATGCTGAATGTATCGATCTTGATGTACCGTGCCGAGGGCTGTGCTGTGCTGCGCCGTGCTGAATTGCGATGTGCCATGCCGCGATTGTGCTCTATAGCGTTGTGGATCGAGTCCTCCTCTGCATCCGAGTCCTGACCGAACTGATCTGAATCCTAAGCTCGAGCTGCCTCAACACATAGTAGCTGCCCCAGAGCTAATTGACGGGGGGATCTGCCAGGAGGACGCGCCGCGGAACGTCCCAAGGGACGCGCCAAGCGACGTTTCAAGGGACGTGCTCTGGGGACGCACTTTGTGGGCCCCGGAATCGGCAAGGCCGTTTTCCAACGTTTCCAAAAAATGTCTCTTGAAAATGGAAACGGCAAAAAAACGGCGACAGGAAATGGCAAAAAAACGGCTCCAGGATTGGAACCAGAACTGGAACCGGTCAAACAACGGCGACGGCACCGGTGAAAAAACTGCGTCGGAACCGGCAAAAAAACGGCAAAACGGAACCGGTAAAAAAACGGCCCTGCCGTTTCCAGGGCCCACTAAGGGGACGCACCGCGGGACCCGCCAAAGGGACGCGCTACGGAACGTGCCAATGGATGTGCAATGGGACGTGCCAAGGGACGCGCCGCGCGACGTGCCAGGGGGACTCGCCACGGGACGCGCCACGGAACGTGCCAAATTGCAGTGCTGAGTGCATCGATCTTGATGTACCGTGCCGAGGGCTGTTCTGTGCTGCGCCGTGCTGAACTGCGATGTGCCATGCCGCGATTGTGCTCTATATGACGTTGTGGATCGAGTCCTCCCTGGCATCCGAATTCTGACCGAACTGATCTGGATCGTAAGCTCGAGCTGCCTGAGCAGATGGTAGCTGCCCCAGAGCTAATCGACAGAAGGGACATGCCAGGAGGACGCGCCGCGGAACGTCCCAAGGGACGCGCCAGGCGACTTGCCAGGGGACGTGCCATGGGCACGCACCGCGGGACGTGCCAAGGGGACGCGCTACGGAACGTGCCGATGGACGTGCCAGGGGACGCGCCGCGCGACGTGCCAGGGGGACTCGCCACGGGACGCGCCACGGAACGTGCCAAGGTGCAATGTTGAGTGTATCGATCTTGATGTACCGTGCCGAGGGCTGTTCTATGCTGCGCTGTGCTGAACTGCGATGTGCCATGCCGCGATTGTGCTCTATATGGCGTTGTGGATCGAGTCCTCTTTGCATCCGAGTCCTGACCGAACTGATCTGGATCTTAAGCTCGAGCTGCCTGAGCAGATGGCAGCTGCCCCAGAACTGATCGGCAGGGGGACATGCCAGGAGGACGCGCCGCGGAACGTCCCAAGGGACGCGCCAGGCGACGTGCCAGGGGACGTGCCATGGGCACGCACCGCGGGACGTGCCAAGGGGACGCGCAACGGAACGTGCCAATGGACGTGCACCGCGCGACGTGCCAGGGGGACTCGCCACGGGACGCTCCGCGGAATGTGCCAAGCGACATGCCAAGCTGCAATGCTAAGGGTATCGATTTTGATGTACCGTGCCGAGGGCTGTGCTGTGCCTGGGCGACCTGGACACGTGAAAGCACGTGTTTCGCTCAAGACGTTCTCAGCACATCCTCATGCCATCCGCCTGGGCAACCTGGACACGTGCAAACAAGCGTCTCGATCGAGACTTCCTCGACACATCCTCATGCTAAGCATCAACCTGGCCGACCTGGACACGTGAAAACAAGCCTCTGATTCGAGACATCCTCAACAGATCCTCATGCTAGACATCTGTCTGGGCAACCTGGAGGCGCGAAACCAAGCGTCTCGCTCGAGACATCCTCAAGACCTGGGCACGTGAAAACAAGCATTTCACTTGAGAGATCCTCTGAATTCAGGTCCCCAGGAGAGGACAATCTATAAGACAAAACAAGCGTTTCGCCCGAGCCATCCTCAACAAATTCTGAAAAACAAGAGTTTCGCTCGAGACATCCTCAACCAAACAAAATCACTGGCCCTACGCGACCTGGTTATTTATCGCAAAATAATTTCGCCGGCCCTACAGCTGGCAGAACCGGGGGTAAACACACCAAAAGAGAACCCTGGGCCCGAGCCCTTTCTGGGAAAAAAGGAGCGTCAAGGTGGTCAAACGCCTCGCCGGTTCAGCCGACGAAGGCGTGCAACCTCCAGCCATTCGCTCATGTCCGGTTTTGGCTTGACGCCGAGTGTGGTGCATCGGTTTCAGCTTGACCGAACAGGTCGGTTGCGCCCCTCGACGTCCGTTTGGGGTGTTCTTGGAGAAACCAGAAGGTACCGATACCGCTACTCCCCGGACCTCTCCTGGGGTGCGTTCTGACCAGGATTTCGAGGTGAATTTAGCGGTGGCGACGACAGAGGCCCAGGAGGCCCAAAAAGCGGAAAACGGGCGAAATGTAGAGGTATGGGTACCTTTTCCTCCTCTGACGTTTGGGGTGTTCTGCAGACCTGACTCCCCACCCCTACTCGACGGACGGCCCACCAACGCCAGGCACGCAACAACGGTGCCCGCCGTGGTGCGGCAAGCTCGTGCCGCGTCGTGCGGCGACGCCGGCGCTGGCTCCTCCGGGGCTCTGCCGGGATCGCTCCGCCTGGAGCGCCCGCGGCTTCCCGACCGCGCGGCTCGCTCGGTGTCGGCCGGCTCCGGGCCACCGCCAGCGCTCCACCTCGAACAC